GAGGTGTGGAGCAAGGGTATAGTGATGACGAAAAGAACGAGGATGAAAGGCTCAATGAGGTGGGCGTAATACCACTCCTCCGTCACATCCCACTACCACAGGACTCATGGTCTCAGCGTCCACGAGAGGTGCCAGCCTTGTCGCTAGAGGGAATCAACAGATCAGCATTATACGATGTGGATGAGCTGGCGAAGGCGCTTGATAAGGCTAGACTGGGAGAGGGGGTTGTTGATATTGATATCGGTCAACTTACTTGGGATGCCAAAGAACATATCCTACGGATGGTGAGTATCTTCGTGCACGCACGGTGAAGATTTTTCCACAGTACTCCTCATTCCCTCTTGAAAAGGGAGTCCCTATTCATCCCTCGCTTTTTTCATGCTTCCATTCTCTTCAGCTATTCCAACGGATCAACAACGACCCCATGGCTTCTATAAATAAGCAGGGTCGCGCGAGGCTGCGAGCTCAGTTGGTGTCAGTGGGCATACCTCCTACTTGATCATGGATATCACGAGAATTGTCTCCCTCGGAACAAGCATTTTGCGTTTGTAGTCTCTGAGTAGTAGTAGTGAGGCGGACTTGTCAAGAAAAAGGATAAGGAGGGATTATGGGATGTCAAAGAAGCACCGATATGCACAGAGTGAGTACCAAGTCAAAACCGGTACGGCATTTTTCCATGTAGCCAATTTTGCGTTTGACGATACATCAGTGCACGATAAGGATATCAGGACTGTTCTTGCAGCGTTGGAGAGAGCTCGACGAGGGTTTTCAAATGGTACTTTTGTTGTTCACGAGTTGTCAATTGCCGCGAAATTATGAAAGGCGGGCCCTTTTTTGGCACCACCCTGTAGCTTGTCTGGATTGGGAAACGGTCTGCATTTGATCATAATATTTGCGTTTTTCGCTGAGTGGCGTGCAAGGTCAGAGTGTGATGCTCCGAGTGCAATTTTCTTACGAGCCTTTCGACTTCAATAACACCTCGAGATAACTTGCTCGACATCCTTGTCAATGAACAACTGGGCGAATTATACAATTACGAGAGTTCATGCATAACGAGCAGACAGCCATCTCTCAAGAATCACATTCTTCGCAGTTGGACTTGCCGAGGAGGAAAATCTGAAGGAATACAGCATGATGTGCACAGCCATTATCTCAGGGAGAAAAACGAGTCGGCATCACTTCATGGAGCCATACTTACCACTGAAGCAACATCAAATGCTAGTTCATCTGAAGGGTCCTTCCCGCATGATCTCATGACGCATTGATGAAATGCCGCACTCATCTCGGTCCCTTGTGGGACCAAACCGAAAGACTGCAGAATTGCTGTATTCTCCTGAACACTTAAAGTGTTACTGCCATCAACGTCCGTCGACACGAGAGTCTCGTGAGTGATATCACAAGATGGTAAGCATATTGTAGGAGCGCCACTCGATATCCATTTTCGACAATACCCTGTGATCGTTTGCGATAGTTTTGACAGCGACTCGTCAACCACACACGTTTCGTCGTACCCCAGACCGCAATCTATGATCCCATCTGTCCATTCGGGGAAGTCGACACCGCTACATATTGGGCTACCAGCCAACCCAATATACTCGAGATAACGCATCTGTCGGAGCGAATCGAATGGTAATTCTTGTATTTGGGAAAGCTCGAACTGGAAGGACCGGATGGAGGGTAGTCGTAGATGCACATCATCAGGGACTATGGCCAACGGTGTAGCCGTTGCAGCCATAACCTCCATCTTTGTCAGTGCTCCGATGCTCAGCGATTCTATTGGCACTGCTACCAAATTCAAAACCACGAGTTCGCTTAATTTCGAGACTGCATTGAAGAGAGCCTCTTGCTGATTGTTACACGAGGTTGATGGAGCTGTATTCCGGTCGGATATGCTCAAGTATTGCAATCTGTTGTAAAATAGTACACGAGTCATATCTTCTTCGACACATGGTGCATCAAGATACACAAAAGCCATCCGACAATCACAAGATTGGGAATCTAGGATTGGATATACCGGAACCAGACACTCAGAGTCGAAGTTGGGGATGAGCTCGTTACAGTTACCTTTGAACTGTGTTATCGCCACATAGACGAAGCCGCTGATACCAATGGTCCACGAGATGAAGACGATGATGCGGGATCGAAGACATGTCCGCTTACGACCGCGAGTTAGCTCTGGATTCTTAGCAATCTCGTACAGGTAACGATCTACGCCTATCACGTTATCTAGTGATAAAATAGCGGGGACGAGACTCGAGAGGAAGGAGACGAACGTCTCGAAGCGCAAGTCTGGCCAAGTGTCAGGCAGGAATATGCGACCAGATATAATAAGATAAGCAGCCGTGAAGCTGAAGGCGACGATGGTGTCGAACAGAGCAGCCCAGACTCGGTTGTTGAGTATGAGTGTCGTGGGACCAACAACGAACACCAACATTATCAGGGTAGCCTGGGTCATGATAGCTGTACGGTCCGCCACAATAACTCTCTCCCCCGTGAAAGAACGGCCGCCCAGTTCAACCAGACGAATAATTTGCAGAACAGTATCCAAGGCCTCGAGCGTGAAAAAACCGTGCCAGAACAAACGCCCGGTCAGTTCGACCTTCTTCTTCGAGGCAACCGCGGAGAGGGCAACCCGGTTTATGAGGCTACGTTCAGACATATCTTGGGTACGCGCCTGATTCTCTTCAGCCAGCTCACTCCTCACAATACTCAGCTTAGTTTCGTCACTTATACACAATTTTCGCACCACCATCGCTGCTCGAGCCAGCGAGATGAGCCCAATGGA